ACCTTTTTTGTTGATTTTTCAGACTATCTCGGCCAAGTAATCTCAGAGTCGAACCAACCCATACAAGAGACCTCGCTGAGATGTGTGTAGTCAGAAGGCTCAAGAATAGATCCTTAAGAGACCTCCTCCAACCACGACACAGGAGAAGCCCCAGAGCCCACCGACTACCTACGTGACGGTGCAGCCTTACTCAAAGAAGACGGCTTTGACGTTTGTCCACGATAAAGCCTGAGGAGCCAACCAGGATTAGCGAGCTACCACCTAAGTTAACAGTTTTGTAATAAAATGTATGCTATTTTTTGATTCAATGCAATAAACATATATAAGTTAAAAAAATCAAACTTTTTTGACGATTTTTTTTTTAACTCTCGGGTAAATATATCCTGTTTTTGATATGTTATACCTTTTTGAATTCGTACGAATCCCTACTATCATACGACATTCAAACAAATTAAAAATTGATAGGTTGAAATGAGTTGTTGACCAAAAAACGTTTCGTTTGTAAAATCAACCTTATTTGATAATTTTTTTAGACTATCTCGGCCAAATAATCTCAGATTTTGGAATTTTATACTATTTTTGACGCGTAAGGATCAGTACTATCGATTGGCCTCAGAAAAATAAAAATCTAAAATTTGAGCCAAATCGACCAAAAATCAAGGAGTTACATCATGTATTTTTGGCAAAATCGGGGTTCGAATATCTCAACTTGTTTGACGATTTTTTTTGAAAATCTCGGGTAAATATAATCTCATTTTAAAATGTTATACCTTTTTGAATGCGTACGGATCCCTACTATCATATGGCATTCATTAAAAAAAAAAGATGTTGGCCAAAAAACGTTTCGCTTGCAAAGTCCACCTTTTTTGGAGTATCTCAAGTGAGATTCATTAAATTATGCTAAACGAAGTACTGTCCCAATCGAGCTGTCTCCACTGGATTTATTCAAGCCATATAAATAGGTAGCTTTATCTAAATCAATATACTTACTTTGCATACCCAAGCCATTTGCATGAACATAATATTAAACAAGAGGTTCTAGTCGGGAGCTCCCTTATCTTCTTCCAACATCAAATGCATATATATATTCTATATATGTCAAGTTTGGTGACTCTATTATTTACCAAAATTGCCCAAAAAACATGATATCGATATCGATTTTAATCGATATCGATTTTAATTGATTGCTTGGAAACGGAGTAAGTTATCGATTATCGGAAACAAACTCGATCTGCGCGGGAGCTAGGAGCACCTACATCTAAAAGCTCTTATAGGTTCTGAGATCCTTGCGTTCATACATACGGACGGACTGACGGACGGATGGACGGACAGACAGACGGACATGGCTAGATCGACTCGGCTATTGATGCTGATCGAGAATATATATACTTCATGGGGTCGAAGAAGCTTCCTTCTGCCTGTTACATACATTTGGATTTTGCACAAATACAATATACCCTTATACCCATTTTTAATGGGTCCAGGGTATAAAAACTACACAAGTACTTTTCACTGCTTCAATTTTTAATTACAAAATGTTAATCAATATTGGTCATAACGGTCATAATAATAAAAGTATATAATTGACAAGGGGACTTTCATAAAAATAACAACGGGGAAATTAAGTTCAGTTCAGCAACATTTTAGTAACACTTTAGCCAGCGCAACAGCCACCAAAGCCCACACATAGAGGGCGCTTTAAGTAGGCGTAAAGTTGGTACATTTTGCCTTTTACTTTCTACTGCTACTAGTTGGTTGGAAGCTGTTGGCTCATTCTGAAAATATCATTAATTACATTAACGATGATTTTTATATAATATTATTATAATTAATTAATATACATGAATACATAGGCATCAAGTGTTACTTTATTTCGAATTATTTCGGATATTTTGTTATTCCATGCTTTATAACAATAAATCTTTTTTTCGTTGTGGTGGTAAAATTCGTTGTCATTAATCTACCCCGATACAACAACCAAGTCACATTCGTTAAATATTAAGAATATTTATGTGAATCGGCTAAATTTCCCCTTGTATGTAATGAACAAAAACCATGTTACATTCGTTAAAAATTAAGAATATTTATGTGAATTGGCTAAATTTCCCCTTATATGTGATGTCTTTTTTCAATACGATTCAAAATGTGATAAACAACATCGTGAGGATAATAACGTCTCGTAAGGAGTACGACGGGATAAAAAGACAGATCTTTAAATAATTTACTCTTCTGCGCTTTTCCAAATGTACATTGATTTTAGAGTAAATTTGCCCTCTTTCAATGAAACAATTAATTTTTTTTTATCCAACATATATTGGCGTTTATTTATTAATTTTTTGTTGATTTGCTTGAATTTTATGACACTGAAACAGACAAATTTAGCTTCGCTTGCTTTAGATAAATGTATGTGTGTGTATGTGTTTGTGTGTGTGTGTGTGGGCCTGTGTGTGAGAGTGTTTGAGCCAAGATATTGACTCGTCGTAAAGTTGTTTTTCCGGATAACTTCCAGTGTTGGGCAGTGCTATTGAAGGAGCGGGTGTGCGTGTGTGTCTGGCTGTGTTGGTAAGTTTGTTAATTGTTGCTTGTCAATTCAATACATTCAATATTAGTATATAGTTAATACATATATATGTTTTGTAATTTGTAATTAGTAATACACATATTTGAAGTATTCGTTTAGGTTTTCTAATGCCGCGCTTAAGGATTACGAGTTTTAATCTTTGGATATTTCATCTCATATATGTTAGTATGTAATGTTTTATGTAATTTAATGCACGATTAATATTTGTTCGGCTAAGAAGGAGCGAGTGATTAGTATGCGTTTGAAACTGTTTGCCTTATGTCTAAATGTAATTTTCATTTAATTTTTAATTTTTTAATTGCTTAGTAAGCGTTTCCAAAAGTTGATGTGCGTTGAAGTTGAATGTTGTCCGTTTTGGGTTGTGGTTGTTGTTTTTTTTTAATGCTTTTCTTGTATATTTTTTATGGCTTAAATGCAATGGAATTTAATTTTGATTTATGCGTTTTAAGTAATGTTAAGTAGAAAATTATGTTATGTTTATGCATTGTTTAATGCTAAATAATTACAAATTGGCTTAATGATTAGTTTGATTTCTTTAAGCAACACAAAAAGCAAGCCCTGCTTTATATATGCAGACGATCCAATATGCACGATAAATATATGAGAAATGCATGATATTTATTTTTGGAATATTTCTTAGCTTAGTTCATTTACGTAATCCCAAATTTATATTTGCAAATGTCGAAAGTTTTTCGTTTCTTCTTTTGTTTTTGTTTTAGTTTTTATCGTAAAATATTTTTGTCGATTAATTTTTTTTTTTTGATTTTGATTCGCCGAAAATTGTTTTATTAAGGTATTTATTAATTTCAATTGTTTTTGAAAACCCAAGAGTTGGTTTTCGTTTCGTTTTTTATTTTTTTCTGAATACGTTGTTCGCTATTTGAATTACTTGAAAATTTGTCAGTTGTTTTGTTTTCTTTCTCTTGTAGTTAGTTCGATTTTGAAACAGTTTGTAAATCGTATATATATTAATTAAATGCCCTTTCTCTAAACGCTATTTAATATTTGTAGTTCGTTTACCATCAAAATTTTTAGTACATTTATATATTTATATAAGTTTCCCATAATGTATAAGCAATATTATCTTTCACAACACTACATTCATATATAAAATCGGTATACCTAGGTAAGGGTTATAGTGTAAGTCGAGTGTGTGTGCAAAGAAATAAAGATTTGTTGATTTTTGAAACTATAATAAAAAATTAAAAATAATAATAATTATTAAAAAAGTATTTAATAAATGATGAAAATGCTAAAACTGACATTCTTGTAAATCGTGAGCTAGCTCATATGCTTCGCTATATCTAAGTTTTGAGCAAATGTTGTCGTGTTCTGTTTAACTCTTGTGATATTCGTGTTTTTTAAGCATTTAGTTCATTGTTAATTTGCATAGTTCAGTCTTCGAGTTTTTAAAGTAATTAGCTTCAAAACTTACAGAACTGTCCCAAAAAAAGAAAAGCTGAAATAAATATGTGAAATAAAGAATATAAATAAAAGAACAAGTAAGAGTTTCAATTCAAATTTAATGTGTATTTAGCAAACAAATGTGTCGCAAAAAACTTAAATAATAATAATTAAATCTTAAATAAATATTTGAAATAATCAGAAATTGAGGTGTGTGCACATTATCAATATCAGTTTGTCTTAAAGCTTGAAGTGCGTAAAAACTGACGTGCAGAAACGATTCGTAAATAAATAAAAGAGTGCGCTTGGGGAGCTTTTGTATAATACAATTTAGAGCTTGTGATTAAGTGTTTTTATTTTTTTTTCTGCTGTATAAATAAATGCTATTTGTGCATTGCATTGAACAAATCTTATTCGCTTGAGTTATGCTTATATGGAAGCGCATTGTAAAAGAAAAACACAAGGAAAAAATACTAAACGTATGTGAGATAAAAAATAATTATTAAATCGAGTACCAATAAAATATTGACTCATACACTGCTAAAAATTATGATCACAAAACTTCGCAAGTCAACAAAAAGCAAAACTCCAATGAATGTGCGCCGGGTTACTTTTCGTCGAACAAAATATAAATGTGAATACATTAACACACATGTGTATACATATATGCTCGTAGTTATAGGATTGGCAGACCTTCAAAAATTAAACAATATCTATCAGTTACAATATAATATTATGACTTTGACTTAGGCTACGCAATTAGTGCATGCTTTTGGCATAGATGGCAAAGAAAATCAAACCGAAAGAATCTTACAAGCTACACATTTATGTTTTTGGGCCGAGAGCTTATCTGCTTCTCTCTCTCTCTGCTTCTCTCGCCCTCTTGATATTTTGGTAGTTCTGCTTGACTTAAAACTAAGAAATACAATATTAAAAATTTACGTTATTTTATGCAAACACACACAATTGAATTTATAATTAATGTATTATTTGTATATATCTTTTGTTTTTCTTTTCTTTTCGTTTCGTTTTAAGAGTTTTTGTTTAAATGCAGAAATTGATTTGCATTTGGTTTTTAGACAAACATTGTTTGGTATTTTCTGTGTGTGTGTGTGTCAGTGTGTGTATGTGTGTGTATGCATATAAGTATGCTTTTCGACTTTGTTTATAAATATTTGAAATAGTTAATAATTGTATATATATGTGTGCGCTTTATGCGTTGCTTACTTCTCTGATGCAAATGCTTTTCAAATAAGACTGACTGCATATATATTTATATATATATATAAATATATATTTATATATTAATGTGTGTGTGTGTGTGTGTGTCATTCAACTCCCACGCACTTCATTGACTTGAAACACTAAGCTAAAATGCCACGCCCACTGCAAGCCGCTTACAAATTACACTGCCATAGTATCGTAGGCTGTGAATCCTGCGCCATTTGTTTGTTGGAGTTGGAGTTGTTTTGGGCCGGCTTCGTTTCTGTTGGGGGGGGATGGGTTAAACAATTAGAAGATGATCAAAAAGTTTATGCATATACATAAATATATATTTGGATTGATATTAATAATTATTATTGTGTCTTGCTGCTGTAGGCTAACATCTGCAACCAAAGCATTGCTTCACATTTACGCCTTTTTATACCCTTGTAGAGAGTACGATCATTCAGTCATGAAATGTTTAACACATGGGAGGACTTCATAAGGCGTACATATATACCTATATATATTCTTGATAAGTGAACAATCGAGTCGATATGGCCATGTTCATATCTGTTTATCGGTTTATATGAAAACTATGCACACAGTCTTGAAGCCTGTTTGCTGCATTCGGAGTTGGGCAGATCGGACATGGTTTGCGAGAGCAGCTGCAGCCTGCTATAAGAAAATACTTATTATCATCGGACTACCTTAACACATAGCTCAATAGAAAATAAAACGATTTGTTGTGCGAAGAAGTCCTCCATATTATAATGGAAGTCCATACTATATGTCTTCGAAATAAAGAATCGGCCTGGAGTTAAGCCAGGTGTCTACAAGGGTATTTAATCTTCGGCGTGCCGAAGACAGCTGTTCTTTAATTTTTAAGTGTGTTTTTTGGGCGTGTTTCGCATTTGTGCCTCATGTATTGCGTGTGGCAAGCCACAAGCCACAAGGCCAAGCGCCAAGCTGTTGGGGACTGCTAGATCCCCCCTCGTAGCAGGTTGCACGAGTGTATTGTGGCAAAACTGTGTTTTGTTTTCTTTGTTAAAGCCTGTTGATTGATTAATTAATATACGAGTATGCTATTTAATCGGAATTCGTATTACAAATGATAAATGCTTTGGGTACTTTCGAAACACTCAACTGTGATTTGCTTTCAATCAACCGAAAAACAAATCAAATATAATCGAATCGACAATAAATAATAGACAAAAACAACAAAAGCGTTATCGATTAAGTTCGGCATGCACATTTAGTTAGAGGGCCTTTAGTGGGCATGTTTATATATGTACAAGGGATTAACTGCGACCAGGACATGCAAAAGCGTCGACATTTAGTTACATAACTTAGCTTAGGTTAAAACTTACAACTGCCTGCGACTACGTAGTCAGTGTGTCATTAAATGTTAATTCATAATGAAAAAAATACAAAATACTCAGAGTTAGTAGCTGCATAACGTACAAGTAGTAGTTCTTCTTCTTCTTCAATCGAAAACTGCACAGAAAATATTCAAATCTACTTTTCTGTGCCCAGTCTTGAAGGCAGCTGAACATCAAGGTTCCATTCGAAGTCAGATCGAATACAATTACTCTACTCTTAGGCTTATTTTCTGTGCAATTTAAGCTTGTAAACATACTTTTGCATGGGTTATACCAATATTGGCTATGCTTTCAATATGTTTCGATATATGCTCGTTTCTTACCTCTCGATTAATTTACGCATCTCTTCGGTGGTGCGTTGATCTTTCGGTTGCGGTGATCTTTTTACAGCTGTACGTTTTTGGTTTTCATTATTTCGGTTATTTTATTTGATTTATTTGTTTAAATTTTTTTAAAATCGACAAAAAATTGTGTGTTCAAGTACCCCAACAAAATTGAGCAACCGAAGTAGAAAGTTATGTGTGTGTGTATAGAATATCATAGTATGTAAAAGAAAATAGAAAGAAAACGCAAAATGAAAATTTAAATAAAACTTTTCTTATGGTTCATACGTAACGTGAAATCAAATCAAATAATCTCTATTGATTTGACGTGCAAAAATTAAATAAAAAAAACCTCAAATAACTTTGTTATAGCTAAAATATTCATCTAAAATTCTTATATATCTAACTTATTGTTCTTAAGGACCATAAAACGATTTTCTAGTCGGACACATGCGATTTTCTAGACACATGAATTCAATGAAATGAGATTTAATGAAAATCAATTAAAACTAATCTTAAATCCGATATTAGATACAAAACATAAAACATTGAATGGTGCTGAAAAGGAAACCCATTAAATTTTGGGCCGTGTGCCTTATGAAATGAAATGGAAGATATTTAATTGTGCATTAAAAACTCATATTTAAATAAACTTAAGAACCAAAACCAAAGTTAATACATATTTAACACAATAAAAACAAAGACGAACAAAATTGTTTTGAAACTTTAGCAAAACACAGCATGAATATTCATAATGAAGAACATATTATCAACTATCGCTAAAAATGATTCATGGGTGACATGAACAGGGAATGAACAGAGGAATGAAGGAGGATCACATTCCTGATATGAGATCGTGGGCAGCCTCATAAGACTATTGCGAAGAATGAGGTGAGTTGTGATAATGTTTTTCGTAGGGGAATTCAAATTCACTTTAAAAACTAAGTTAACTGCGATTGGCGATTTTATTTCACAACACTCACCCTCATTGGAGTCTTCTGATAGAGAATAATATTTGAATGTGCAAACGAATTTTGAAAGGGAAATTAAGAACATGTCGAATTGTCGTGTTAAAAATTAATGCATTTTCAATTGAGCACAGCAAACATTGAAATATTTAGTTTTAAATTAGGATACGATTGAAGTGGGGGCGGGGGCTGCTCTCGACTGATCTTCCGACACTTACCACCATAGTTTCCGCGTGGTCCATGATCGCGATCGCACTCGGCCTCCGAGATCTCGTTGCTCTCCTTGGAGTCGTTGAACGAGGAGTTGCTCATGTCATGGTTACGTGGTGGTGGTGGAGGTGGCTCAGGCGAGCCATTGCCTGGATTGCGTGCAGAGCCTGTGGAAATAGAGTTACAATTTAGTCAATCGATCAGATGCGCTTTTCGATTCTCAGTCTGGCATTTACCAATGCTACGACGTCCCATTGATCCGCGGGATCCATAGTGATCGTAGGGCTGTCCATAGGGTCCACCGTACTGAGAGCCGTACTGATCCTCCTCAGGTGCGCAGTTGGCGGGATCATCATATTCGGGTCCGGGTCCAGAGTACAAACTGCCGCCCTGAGAGTTGACACGTGTGTAGCGGCGCTTTGGGATCCGAAAAAAACAATAAGCTACTCTCCTTGATGTGCTTTCAGTATAGGTGCTCTTACGTATTGATCCTCTTCGGCGCAGTTTGCAGGATCGTCGTACTCGGGTGCCGGGGTATAGATCGAGGACTGGCCGCCTTGGCTGTTCTTGCGTTGGTAGCGATTGGCACGAGGCATCGATTGGGATCCAGAGCGCGAGTGCACATGTCCGGGATGACCAGGTGGCAGCATGGTACCGGCATGTCCGGGTACGGGCGTGTGTCCATTCTGATGCGGGAAGGTCTGGAAGTTCATGGCCTTGGTTGGATCCATTTCCTCGCGGAAGCCGAGCAGATGGAACGTAGCATAGGGGCAGATCTCATCTTCCATGCCTTGCGAGAAGAGAGTTCGATTAGCAACAGTTCCACATGCTCTCCAGAGCGGATTGTTTGGTGTTTTGGTATTTGTTTTAGTGTTTTAGTACGAGTAGAGCGACCTGCCAGACAGAATGGCTTGGCCTGATATCTTTTACTTACGGTAAGCAGCTCGATGCGACCGGGGTTAGACTACAATAGGTTAGTGGTCTTTAAAAAATGAATCTCAATGAAAAGTTAAATAGGGTCCAGGTTTGGTATTAGTAGTTGGGATGCATACGAAAATGAAAAGGCTGACAAAATCAAATGGGGGACCACTCCTACCTGGATGTCTATATTGACACTCGGGAGCGCCATGGGCATGGCCGTAGTGATTGCCAATGCCGTGCATTGGTACTGGGGGTGCTTTCAGTTCCTCGTACAGGTTCGGATTACGGCGCGGATCCCAAGTGGAGTGGTTCGAGCGCAAGCCACCGCGGCCTGAACCGGTACGTGTACGTGTTCGTGTTCGTGTTTGGTGTCAAGTGTCGTTTGTGTTGGTGTGGTATTATTTTTATTCAATTTCCAATATTCATACAACATCAACGATGAGTAAACGGAAAAATTAAATAATTGAGGCAACAGCAACCAAAACGGAGGGGAGTCGGAGTAATGTCGGAGAGAAATTCAAATAATAAATAAATACGTAATTTAAACATTTAAAACCAAAATCATAGTAAGATTTATCTAAATTCAGCACAACATTTAATAATACGAGTCTTGGTTCAGATCGGGTGGGGGCATCCAAATTATAAGAAGCGACTTTAAGAAGCGACATTAAGAATTTCGTTCTGAGAAAGCGTTGCGGCGTGTTCTTGTATGTGCACGTGTCTGTGTATGTGGGATGGGCGTGGCAACGCCCCGCGAGCGACCTAAGGTCTTGATGTTCATTGTGAATGCAAAAGCAACGCAAAATATGAAATACTCTGTTTCTTTTCTGCTCAGTTTTCTTTTCAAACATTTTGTACGCAAAGTAAATGGAAGACAAAAATAAGCCTCAGCCAATGCGCAGTGAGTGCCCCTAATAGCCTTTGGGGGGGGCCGGGGGGGGGGGCTCCGCTGGCATAGTCCTGGCATTAATAAATGTTGCATTGGAAATTTAGATGCTTACTTATGACTGTACCTCGCTTAATCCGGTCGCAGGTGTTGTAGTTGGAGCCGGGCACGGGCGGCAGCTTCCGGTTCGGTGGTGCGATATAGCCGAGCTCGTCACGGAGATCCGGGCGGCGTTTGTCCAGGGTGGCGCCGGGTCCCATTGTCTGATTGTAAACTACATCGTCTAGAATTAATATACGATATCGCGAACTCAATAGTGAAACACTGAAGATGCTTTTCCTTTTAATGTTGCTCAAAGATCAACTCGCATACTTTACTTCTGTTTTTCGAATCAATCAGCTTTGTTCCGTCACTCACAATATTTGGGATTTTATTAATTAATTAATTTTATTTTTTTTTTTTTGGTGCGGCATCTCAACACGCTAAAGTGCTAATTAGTAGCTCAAAAGTACAAGTTTACAATTGCATAAACGGAATTACGTGAGGTGTCTTTGATTTTTTTTTTTTTTTTGTCAAAATATACCAACTTGTTTGCGAGATATAAGAATTCATGATATAATGACATGAAATGAGAGATGATTTTAATTTCGAGTTCAAATTTACTTTACTTTACTTTACTTTAGCATTATATTCATTTGCGATTTCAAAAAGCATCTTAGTTTTAGTTTCTCTTGAAAAAAGGGATTGAAAATGTGTAAAATGAACAACAACAAAAAGTGTCGATAGAAAGTTGTACTTGTTGTGAATAGGAGAATTTGTCTGTTGTGTGAAGAAACTGTTAAAGTTGCTTACGTCATAAGCAAAAACGTATTTACAACACTGGAGATTAATATATATATATACTATATATGGGATATGTGTATGTTTATGGTGCGGATGCTATTTACTTGGCTTACAACATTATTTCTTGAATTTAATGCCAGAATAATTGAGGGATTAAAATCAATAAATCAATATCGCAAAATATTTATACAAATGTCAATACTTTTTTTTTAAATAATTTTCCAATATCTGTTAATGGCGATGGAAAATTGATGGTAGTTCTATGAGTATCATATGATGAGTATAACAGAGATATATGAATGTACTTATACACACGGCATACACATTAAATATATATGTATATGAGTTATTTTGGGACATATATTTAATATTTTTTAAAATATTTTGTTGGTATATTTTTGTGAAAGTTTTGGTATTTTTTGTGCGTGTATTCTTGAGTTCGTGTCAGCTGTAGTCTGAATAATATTTTATCAAGCATCGAATATTATGTATATCATGCGTTAAATGGTTTATACTAAAACTAAACATTGACATTCCAAAATAATTTGAAAGTTACCAGAATTTTTGCAGAGTGACGGCATTTGAGAATATATCTCAACATAACTTGGTCCTCGTGTTGACATTGTGCGTTAATTTTAAAACACAAAATTTCAATTTGACAATTTGGCGAAAGATGCGCAACAATGTTCAACACTTGAGAACCATAAAACAGAAATAAAATTTGACGAAAATAATATGCTTTCTGTAGAAATAGTACACTTGCTCTCCTGTGCATTGGGAACACAGGCAAAACCTACAATATACATCCTTTTGACCGCCCCGTATATCATCTGCACGTCTTCGGGAGAGCGCCACGCAGACAACACAGATGCCAACGGCAACCACAACCACGGTGGCAATCAATGGCACCATAAAGTTTAGATCCAGCCACTCGGGCATCCAGGCGGGCAGGGGAATCCGGGCATGGACATTTCCATGGCCCGTGCCGTCGTCGAGTGGCGCAATCGTGCCTTTGGTTTTGTTTTTTTATTCAAATTCGGTTTCGGATTCGGATTCGATATACAAACCGTAATGGAGCATGCAATTCGTATAGCAGTTACAACAGAGCAGGCAATTTCATAGCCAAGATATTTAAGATATTTTTTGATTGTTGTAAAAAGGAAAAGCATAAATATGTACAGATACAAAAAACGGAAAAGCGAAGTGTGTTCGTTTTGCGTTAGCAGTATGTTGAAAGATAGAGAAAGACAGATGGAGAGGAACCGAAAAAAAAAAGAAATATGTAATTAGTTTGATATACTTATAGATACCTTTGTGGTGATTGCCTTTGCTACGCAGAATACAAATAACAATTATCGCTATGATTATGACGAGCAGAGCCGCCACGACCGGCACTACTAAATTTAGGTTCGATAGAATTATGCGGATTGTATCCTCGGCGCTTAATTCTGGTAAATCACGCGAGGGTGCGATTGTGCCTGTAACAACAACAACAACAACCAAAGTGTTTCACATGTAGACCCAGACAGGGAGAGAGACAGATAAATATATATATGCATGTATGTATATAAAGAGAGAAAGTAGAGAGAGACAGAGAGAGAGAGAGAGAGTGAGAGCAAGTGAGAGGGAAGGTTCAATAGTTTGCAAATTAGAAAGGCACGTGAACCATTCGCGATCGATTCGCCAACAATTCGCGATCAATTCGCAAAAAGTTGACGATCAAATTGCCAAAAATTCGCGAACAAATCGCCAACAATTCGCTCGCTCTCTTTGCCCTTTCGCCTTCTTCTCGTACATTGACTTTTGTACCCAGACACTAGTCGACTAGTCGAGCATACTTGTTTGTTAAAAAAACACACACTTAAACAAATACATTAACAAATAGAAATACGATTAATAACTTTGATTTGATTTGAGTTGAGTTGAGTTCGCATAGACTTTGTAACGTGTTCGGAAATATTGTAGAAGTGTCACAAATAGTTGAGAATGTAAATTAATTATACATTTAATTTATATTTAGAATTTATTTTACAATGCGCCGAACAGCACGCAACATAATGTTTGTGAATATTTATATGAAAACTATTTTAACTATTATTTTATAAATTGTAATTATATAAAAAAATCAACATCGTTTTAATACGTTCAAATGCAATTTGTTTTTTATCCGTAATGTCTTACAACTAGTTAAGTAAATAGTTAATACTATGATCTCGAAACGCTAAAACGCTTTTAAGCAAGTTAACAAATTCATTTAACGGCATTCCAAGTGTAGCAGCTTTCGATAGTATGATTACGAGATTACGATAACGAGAACGTGAACGAAAGATGGCCCTGTGCCACTTCTGTTGAGGTAACTTCAAATAAAATTTGTAAACACTAACTAACTTAGGTGGAACTCAACTAGAACTTGATGACAGAACTGAATTGTAATCGAAATAAACATTTGTGTGTAATGAATGCACATATGTATGTTTTTTTTTTTTTTTTGGTATGTAAGGATATTGATCTGCATCTTCTCCTTTTCTTCTTGATCTCAGCTCTCATGTGAACCCTTGCTAACATGTTGGATGATGGATCTTTGGTTGTTGTGCTTTCGGAAATGTGTGCGCTTTGGCTCTGCTCGGTCTCAACTTGAGTTTCTTTGGCTTTTATCATTTGGTTCAAGCAGATTAAATGAGCATTTTGCTATTGTCAAAATCAAAACACAAAAAAAGGTACTTAAAAATATTCTAACTAAAAAACAAACAAAACAAAAAAATAGAATCAAAAACCTAGTTAGCAATGCATGAACTAATAAAATTGCGTGAATTAATGTGATCAGTTGTGGAAAACTCTGTACATATTCCGCTGAATAGAATTGTATTAAAAAATTAATTATTCCAAAAGATGATGGATCCCATGTTGATGCAGCTGGGAACCATACATATAAGAATTGATAGGATACAAGATTTCTTTAATTTGGAATAAGTCCTTCAAAATCGTTCGATTTTTGGTTTTGCTGCAGAGAGAATTTATTACTTAATGATTTTGCAAATAAGTAAGCAATTTACACATCGGATTCTTATTCAAGCGACACTTTGGTGTCCTACTAGCAGCGAAAGGGAGCAACAGGGATTTACAACATCAATTGATCATACCAGACCAGGCAGTACAGATTCTAATGCACCTTGACGCCTTGGTCTCTTTTGAAATGTACAAACAAAATAGATCTCCACAGACTGGACACATAAATGCAACTAACAGAACATGATGGACATGATATACAAGTGAATAACGAAATGAAGGAATCAAATAAGTAAATATGGTATACTAAGTACCGTGGTCGTCTAGAGCACTACGAATGTCTAGTGGTACGCAGAAAATAATGATAAAATGAATTAAATAATAATTAAATTCATGATTGTAATCAATGAATGTGGCTGGTGAGATTTATGTTAAGCTATTTACTTTAAAGTTTGTAGCATTTGCAGTTGCTGTTCTTGGGATTTGTACACATTAATGGTATTTTATATAAAAACGTAAAAAACAAATTGCATTTACGCAATAAAAACATGTTTTGTACATCGTTCAATGCCGTTGCGATTCAAATTTTGGCATATTATCGAAATTACAAATCATAAAATCAACATAATTATACATTTTTTTTACTATGTATGACAAGCTTGTGGTTGAAATAGAATAAAATTAAAGCAAGATCTGCTAATCAAAACTAAAATAATTACTGTGCAATTTGCTCGGGAAAAATGAAATCAAAAATTTAAATTTGCTCATTTTCAGTTTTTTGTGAATTTGGTAAGAAAACATTTACAACTCAGGGAAAGTGTTTATGCCTAGATTGTTATTTGTATATGGACAATGCTGTCGGGGCGTGTTGTCTGGCTCTTCACCTGGCAGTTCCTGTGGCTACAGCCCAAATGGAATCGCAGACGACGCCCCAACAACATTATCAACGTAGTTTTCTATGTACAAAAGCAATGTGAAACATGTGAATTGGAAAACAGATCGTAAATACCTCCGGTTACGGTGAGCGTGGCAAAATCGTATTCGGCAACAGTGAAACCCGCCGAGTTGTGGGCGGTGATGCGCAGATTGTACCAGGTGGCGGGCTCCAGATCGAGTACAACGTAGTTGTTGTCGGGCTTAACATTATTTGAGATTTGGTTCCATTCCAATTGATCGCTAGAAAAGCAAAGGGTTAGTCTCGTCTAACGAGGTAATGTGAGCTGTACTCAAGGAGATACCGTTTCTTGCTCTCGACGACAAAGTGGGACATGGGGCAGCCTCCATCCTTCCAGGCCTTGAAGTGCAGCGAAACCGAGTTGGAAGACACCTCAATGAAACGTGGTTTCTCTGGCAGTTTGGGCTTCTGGCCCTTGGTGCGTGTGTTCAGAATGTCGGAAGCTTCGCCGGCGCCAATACTGCAGAGACGGTTGCAGCAGAGTTAGAATAGAATTTTGTTAGATTATTTTATGCTCTACTCACTTGTTGAAGCCTGTGGCGTAGACCTGATAGCGTGAGCCACATAGCAAGTTTTCAATATTGTGCTTTTGGGATTCCACAGAGACTTCAGCTGTTTCCCACTCGCCGAATTCTGCAAATATTTTTTAGTTATTTGCAAAAATTCCAATAATAATTTATTGTCTTTTTACATACCTGGCTTGTAATGCAATGTGTAGCCGTGCAGAGGAGCTGTATCACCCTCATGTGGCTTCAGTCGGACGGTCAGGGCGTCGGTGGTGGTGGCCGAGAGCGTTACGTGGGGTGACTGAGGTGGTGCCAGTACGATAAGCTTATGGGTAATTGAGTCCTTCGCAATGGAGTTCTCGGCATGGCAGGAATAGTCGCCGGCATCCTGGCGGTTCACCGACTTAATCAATAGCGAACCATCGGGCAATAGGCGCATGCGATCGTTGGCACTAAAGTCAACGCCCTTAATCTTCCATGTGATCTCGGGCTGAGGCGCACCCACGGCTAAGCAAGGCATTTTGGCGTCTTCCTTGAATGTGGCAGTGAACGTGTCGTCGAAGGAGGCGATCTTGGCGGGCACCTGGTCGCTGGGCATGGCCACGATGCTCTTGGACTGCTGGCCCTCGCCAATGGTGGTGCTGGCAGTGACCCAGAATTCGTAGGGTTTGTTCTTCTCCAGTTCGGTTGCCTCGAAGCTCATTTGATAGTGTGGCACCTTTTGGGTTTTTGTTTCAGTCTCGGCACCTTCAGCCTTCGAGTAGACAGTGTATTGGGTGATAATGCCATTGGGCTGTGCTGGTGGGCGCCAGGACACCAAAATGGCGGCATTACCCATAACCAAAGCCTTAACATCGGTGGGGGCTTCGGGAACTGTTTAACAGAGATCACGTTGCAATTAGGGCTGAAAGTTAACATATGTTGGAAGTGGACCTACCATCAGGTTCGGTCTGGCAGTGAATGGGTACGCTGCGAACTCCATCGCCTCCGGCTGTGGTGGCCAGCACCTGCATGGTATAGTTTGTGTACTTCTTCAGCCCATGGAGAACAGTGTCGGAGGAGGCAGTCTTCTTGTAATGACGCTTGGTTTCATCTACGATGTGGACTTGTCAATGGGATCGGACATTACATGGAGGGCACACTTCTACTTACCGTACCACTCTTCGCTGGGGGCATACACAACCTTGTAGGTCTTGATCACACCGTTGGCCGACTCCAGAGGTGGGCTGACCCAGCTGACGCGAATGGTTTGCGATGTCAGAGTTGTGCAGGCGGTGTCGCTGGGGGGCTGGCTGGGTGTGCCTTCGGCGGTAAACTGTTTCTCCTCATCGCTCAAAGGACCTGCGCCGATCTTATTAAAGGCCTGAATGACCACCGAGTATTGGGTGTACACGCGCAGATTGTTCAGTTCCAAGTTGTGCTCCTTGCCCTCCTCGGTGATGAAATTAATGGTCTCAAAGATATAGGACGAGTTGGTGTTAGATAGCTTGTAGCCGACATAGTAGCCTAGGATTTCGCCGTTCCAATCAGAACGTGGTGGTGGTTTCCACATGACGCGCAGTGTTGTCTGATTCACTGGATCGACTTTGATGTTCTGGGGCTTGCCCGACGGTGCCTCTTCGGCTGTGATAATGGTTACAGCCTCCGACGATTGCGAGGAGCCAATCTCATTCTCAGCTACGATGCGAATATTGTAGGTGGTGGCAGGGCTAAGTTTCTGTACTTGAGCTTCGGTGGTGTGTCCGGGGACCATAACGCGATCGATCTCATCCCAGGATGCTCGTGAGCGCTTGAACTCAATGATATACCGATTCAGTGGGGAGTTTCCATCGTAGGGTTGGGCCCAGCTCAGCTGCACGGAGCGACCAGACTTGTCCAGGACCTTCAAAGCATACGGCATTTCAGGCACTTCCTGCACAATCATATTTATGCTGGCATCGTCCGAGCCAAAGGCATTGGTGGCTACACAAGTGAAAAGCGCGGAGTCAGAGCGCTCGGTGCGTTTGATAGACAAGCTGGACATGACGCCGGCAGAAAGTATTTCCTCCCGAATCGTGTAGCGATTGTCGTTCTTGGGGTCCAGGCGCATGTTGTTCATGTTCCACAAAATGCCGATGGGCTTCTCACCCTTTGCCTCGCACTGCAACACGGCTGGCTCGCCTCTGCGGGCGGTCTGATTGCGCAGCTTCTCCGTGAACTCTGGTGGCGCTTGGACACTGACCATAATTACGGCTGAGAGTCCCGAGCCGATGCCGTTGATGGCCTCACACAAGTAGTAGCCCTCGTTAGTCTTCTGTATGTTGTCAATGTGCAATGTGCCCTCCTCGACGCGAATGTTGTCGCTTTTCTTGAGATCCTTGTACTCGCCGGGTGTATCGCCTGTGGAGTGTTGGAAAGAAGATTTTATCATCAATTTTTGTTGTATTTAGTTTAGTTTTAATTCGTTTTTGCTTACCAACTGCTTTTTTCCATGTCACTTGGGGCTTGGGGAAACCGTCAGCTTTGCACTCAACCTTGGCATCGGAGCCCTGGGCGAAGGCTTTGTCTGTTGGCTCAAGTATCCATCTAGGTGGCACTGTTGTTGTTGTTGTTGTTGTTTATGATGTGTAGGGTACAGAAATAGAATATATTAGTAAGTTTGTTGCGGGTGCCTTCCTAAAATATAACAATTAGCATGCGGCGTATGGTCTTCATATTTTGACATTCGGATGGACGGACTTTGTTTGCACAAACTGAAATGAATTGATTATTTCAAGTATTTTGAGAATATTTTATTCATTTCAATTTGTTGCAACTTAGTGGAAACATTCGTATAATAATCGCAAGTAATTTAAAAAAATTCACATATTTTATTTATGCTTTTAATCATTTAATAATGATAATTAGTTTTAAGCGTTATTATAGATCTGTTTCGACTATTGACTTAAACTTTAGTTGAACTCATAAGCCAAACTACAACCAAAATTATTAGCACAATTAATTAACCAAATTGTTAAAGGACAACTGAAAGGAGGTTTTTAATTAAACAATAATTAGTAACAAACTTAAAGATAAACAACATGCAATTTGTGCAAAACGAAGCGCTGTTTGTGATTGTCTTTAAAACGATTTTCGATTCTTTTGTAAATTTATTCTGCAAACAGACTTCGTTTTGTGACTTAAACTCTAAGTAAATTATAGACTACAATAAAACTGAAAGTAATTAAAGTCAAGGATGTAAGGATTTAGGTTGGACTGATGTGGTGTGGGATGGTTATGGTGGGAGCGTAGCAGGGACTTGTGTTTCACTGGAGCGTACAAATGTATCTTTAACTGTTATTTCAAGCGAACAGATTCAGACTGCACAGTGGGCTGATATTGTTATTAATTTTAAGTAGACAATTAGAAGCGATAAATATGCGAGTTGTTATTCTTGTTGGCAGTTTATTCGGTGTTGGAGCATGAGCCTTGTTCAAATCGTAATGTACAAAACAGAATTAAAAATAAAAACATATTCAATATATGTGTGTCTATATATCGTACAGAAAGCTCAAGCAAGTATCAAGCTGTGAGTCCTTCACAAATCTGGTAGTACAGTGCGTATACGTATTTGTGCGTAATATGCATGTGTGTGTGTGTGCTGCTGGTTATAGTGTATTTGAATCTGAGCTGTTTTGCCATATAAGAGCTTATTCGGATGCGTTAAGATTAGGTCGGAACTGACATTGCGTCTGTATGGCATTCCGAGAGAGGAAGGTTTCAGTTGTTGGGTGTTTATTATAAGTACTTATATACAGTGTCTAGTTGGATGGTAAAACTTTGTTGGTAGACCTCAATCGAACTCGTTTAAATAGTCTTTGGCCCAAAGAGCAAAAAATGCAAAATGTCGAAACGCGAGAAAATCTTGATTAGCTGAAGGGAAATGGAAAATCGCTGATTTTTTCGCCAATTTTTTTCAATCCACTTTACCATTGACAGTCAGCATGGCCTGCCGCTGCGCCACGCCCACATGATTGCTGGCCGAGCAGCTGTAGTTGCCTGTATGATGGGCCTGCGCCTTGTTGATTAACAACAGGCTCGAGTGCTCACCCACCGTCGCCTGGGTGGCATCCGCGTCGTCATCGTCGTCGTGCAATGGCCTCCCGTTGAGCCGCCACTCAAATCGAATGGGCGTGGCACCTCTGCTGGCAATGCACGTGAGTTGCACATAGTCGTTGACATCACAAAAGGACGTGGAAAGCGAAAGGGCTGCCAGCAGAGGCGGCTCTAAAACATCGTCAAGAGTGCCGAACAAAAAGGCAGTGCAAGGCAATAAAAGTGTTACTAAAGTTGACAGCCCATCAATTACCAAACGTGATCAAGTCTTTAATGAATGTCGACAGTGCATTCCCAAATATTCTAGGAACTGTCTGTATATTGTCAAGTTCGCTGTCTAAGTCTTTTGATTTTTGAAATATGCTCTCCATATTAAGATAGTCAGAGTCGAGTTGTTAGTCGCTTAAGTAGCGCGGGTTGGACTAAGTGTCGGTAAACTGAGCACAAAGTTTTGGGTTCGAATTCCCACGAAGCCAGAAAACCAAAAACTAAGTTGAGTTAACAAATTAGGAGACTGTCATTTGTTGTTGGGCACAAATTTTAAAGAAAGAAAAACTATTTACAAATGATAGACCTTTAAATGAAATCATTATGAAATTAGGAATGTACCCTTCACTTTTAGCAGAGACCAGCGACTGGCGAGACCCGCCGTATTGCTGGCCACGCACGTGTAGTTGCCCGAGTCGCTGATGGCTGTCTGACGCAGGGACAGGATGAGCGTATACTCATCGATCTTGTGGTATATGGACCGCAGCAGGGGCTGTCCGTCTTTCAGCCAGAAAATGTCGATGGGCAGATCTCCCGAGGTGACCATGCACATGACACGCACCGCTTGGCCGCCGTTGACGCCGTTGGCATTAAAATGGAACTGTTCAATTTGGGGCAGTTCTGAGCGGTTGGGGGACACACAAAAGCCGTGCATGAGTAAGTGTTAACATATAAAACAATATGTGCTAATGCAAACCGACACCAGGGCAAACACAGAAAAACACATATGACAGAGAGAGAGAGAGAGAGTGGGCATATTATACAGTTGCTGCTTTATCTAGGAGCTACAAATACCAGGCCAAGTCATAATGCTGTACAGGAAACAAACCCTTGACACTGAGTTTCGTCTCAGCGATCGTGTAGCCGGCCCCATTGGCACCCATGCATGTGTAATTGCCCGCATGGCCGCCCTGCACGCTCTCAATATTCAGAGAGCTGCTGCGCCGGCCGTGCATCAGAATGCTGACGCCCGGCAGCTGCCCAGCCGGTTGCCCATTGTAGTACCAGGTTATGTTGAAGGGGGCATCTCCGTGTACCACGGCGCAAGTCACCTGATAGTAGTCGCCCACATAAAGCGGCGAATTGTTTGGAAGTGGCGCCAGTTTTGGTGGCACTTTGGAGCAAAATTAAAAGAAATAATAATAAAATGAACTTTAAGATGGAGCAATCTAAACAAATATCCTTTCCCCGGACTCAGGTTAAGCTAGAGAAATTGCGTGACTTTTGAATCGGTCCGATTTTCATCCAAATCTAAGCCTATTATAGGCATGATATAGATATGCCTAAAATATGCCAGCCTAGTGAACTCGTACATGGAGCTGAAGAAGGTGCAATAATTTTTGTTATATTGTACATGCAATCCTTTTGGTGCGACTAGACACAGAGTGAGACAGAGATATAGAGCGAAAAAGAGACAGAGACATGCAGCCGAAAAGTGGTAGACGCATTGGGTTAGTAGCAACAAACTACGACGGACAGGTTAATGGATCATAATTTCTTGTACTCTAGGATACGCATCCTAACCATAGACATTGAGCAGCGTCGTGAAGCGCTGATGGCCAGCCAAATTCTTGGCGTGGCACGTGAAATTGCCAGCGTGTGGCGCCTCAACGGCCTCAATGGTCAGCACGCTGCTGCGGCTGCCAACGCTGGAGGTGCTGATGCCCAGCTGCTCTCCGATCGATTGGCCATTCAGCGTCCATTCGATTTGCATGGGCAAATCGCCCACGGGCACTGAACAGTGCAGCGTTAGATACTGGCCCACCTGGGCGGGGCCCTCCTCGAAGGCGAAGGGAATGATGCGCGGCAGAACTGAACGTATTTGGATGGGAAAGAACCGAAATAATAGAGTGCGCAAAATAAAAGAGAGCGTATGCAATAATATTCTACGTAATTAAATAAGGTATTTAGCATAGAGTCTTCGCTGCACCTATGACCTTAAGCTGGGTGCTGTAGGAGGCCTTGCCAGCGGCATTTTCGCCATGGCAACTGTAGTTTCCGGCATGCTTTGCCGCCACGCTCTCGATGGTCAGAACGCTGCTGCGTCTGCCCATTTTGGCTATAAGTATGTCCTGATCATCGTCATTGAAGAGCGGCTGCTTGTTAAACGTCCAACGTATGTTCAGGGGCAAATCGCCCTCGGTGAGGGTGCATTGGTAGGTTATATACTGGCCCAGATGCGTGGGCTGTGCGCTCGTGGCAAAGGGCGTTATTTGGGGTAGTACTTTTTGGGTATGAGCACAACAGAAAATACAAGAAACACAAAAGATAACGTAAGTATATAGGCTCTACTATATGAAAACTAAAACTACAGCAATTCTATGGCCAACCATTCACTATCAGCGCTGCCGTATACTCCACGGTCTGGGCACTGTTACGGGCCCGGCACGTATAGTTGCCGGCATTGTTGCCGTTCACGGAGTCGATGGTCAGAACGTTGACCTTTTTGCCTATTTTTGAGCTGGTCACGCCATGGTACTCGTTGATGGCATAGTCATTAAAAAGCCAGTATATATCCACGGGCAGATCGCCTTTGGATATGGTGCATTGAACGGTCACCGAGTCGCCAAAATTCGCTGGCTCGTCCCCAAACTCAAAGGGTGTTATATGCGGCGGCACTTGATCAAAGTGGAGATGGGAAAGAAGGTGTAGGAGTTAAGGTGGTGGCAGATAAGTTTCGTAAGGTTCGTTGTGCCCTCAAGTTCGTTGCCTAAGTCATTTGATATACTCGTAATACTTGATTCAAGCCAAAACAAGAAGCCAGCACGTCAATTAACTAAAGCCAAAGCAATCATGCATTTTCTGTGTTTAAATATGTGACTTACAATTTCGTTGGTGTAAATTATAAAAGAAGTACACTAAAATCAAACCAATAAAAAAAACCGAAATTTACATTCAAGTGCTGTACAAATCTCGCTGTACCATTGACAAAGAGCTGGGCTGTGTAGACTGACGAGGCCCACAGATTTCTAGCCTTGCACGTGTAGTTGCCGACGTGACGTGCATTGACCGCATCGATCATAAGGACACTCAGGCGTTTGCCCATTTTGGAAGTTGAAATGCCCGAATAATGATTTATGGGATAATCATTGAAGAGCCACTCGATGTCTAGCGGCAAATCGCCCGAGCTAACCAGACAGTTCACGGAAACTGAATCCTCGAAATTTACGGGCGCTTCGCCAAAATCAAAATGCGCTATTTTGGGTGCAACTAGTGAAGAATTCAAAGGGACAT